CCCTTAGGCATTCTATGTAGGACTGATCCAGCTCTCAGATTCAATCAAAAATATCTTTATTTGAGTTCCGAATATGAACGAAGGTCTTACGGGGTTGGAACAGCATGGGGGTGAGTAATTAATGACTTAATTTTCATTTTTGGGTGAACTAACCCTTTAAATGTAACACGGACCTTTTGCATAGTTCGTCAGGATCAAGCAGGCTATGTTTACGATATTTTTCTCTTGCTGCCAGAAGATGGTCTCCCACGAATTTGCGGAAAATTTTGATTATATTTCGTGAAGATACTTGACAAAGAGTGTTTTGACAGTGTTTTGTACATTTTTTCATCATAGATTTTTTTCGGTTTCTGAGTTGGGTGTATACGTTTCCAAATCTAACTTTTTATTGCCTTAATCACTGTCTTGTTGGCTCAAACATAGCACCGTTTTGAAACTTGTCAGCAATTTCTAGCGACGGTTAGCTAGGATTAAAATATGTAATACACAGCGGGGTTCGTTGTAACACAGTGGTACAAACAAGCCGCCAATTGTACAATGATAATCAAATGAAAACGGAGCCTCACAACTTTTCAGGTTTGAGTATACATTTAACTTTGTTGGACTTCCACAAACAATGTTGGAATTTAAAATGTTTAAAATTTATAAAAAAAATTAATGAAATGAATGATAACTTGTTTATTTATTAAAAATATGGCCTGTTTTTAATGCAATAAACCCTTAAAAATATTATTTTAAGCTCATTTGTATGATTATTACTGTTATTAATAATAATAATAATAATAATAATAATTGTACATGCGGCTACCACACACAAATCTAATTTAATTGCAATTACAATATTTTATAATTTTATTTATTATTATTTATTGCAAAACTGTACAGCCCTTTTCTATGTCTCTATCCATAATATTAATCCACAATAGAAGGATGATTGGATGAGGGATGGATGTATGGATATCTGTCTATACAGATGCACAAACAATATCAATCTATACAAATAAAATTGTACTGAATTACGTAAGTGTGTTACACACAAGTGTTACAACTAACCCCTCTGTCTGTTACAATTAACCCCACATATGGAGTAAGTTGTAACATTTGCACTTCAGTCATTTTCAGTGCAACTGTACGAAAATGGTAGGTCCTAGAAAAAAACTTTAAGTGTTAATTTGTAGCAGAGATGTGTATGTTGCTTGTGTAAAAAAAATATTAATCTAACCTAATTATTTTTTAATTAACTGAGCCAAAACCAAAATGCGTTAGGTTGTGCCCCGCTCTCCCCTATATAACAAGCCTTTAAAATCTGAGGGTAAAACTTGCAAGCTGTGATAGAAAAAAAAAGAAGAAACAACACTGAAAGCAACAACCAAGACCACAAATAGAGAAAGCGTAAACGGAAAGTGCTTAACAGGAGGGCGAGGAACACTGGCTCCACTGGGAGGTTTTGAAAGAGCTGGTTTAACAGGTGGAGGAGTCAGAAGACCAGCAGAAAGGTTAGAGTCAGGCGAGCTCATTGGCGTTAGTGTAACAGAAGAGATTTCGAGACAAGAGAACGATGTCACGTTGTGACACCAGAAGAGAGATGAGGGTCTTTGAAGCATGTAGGCCTCATTAGAAGAGTTAATGTGGAGAAGCTGTGGAAAGATCACAACTAGTCAGTGCTGGTATTCTAGTTTTCCTGCTGTTTTTTCTTTAAAAAAAGAAAAGCTCATGACTTTAGAAAATATCTTTAGGCATAGCTGATGTCTATATGCAGCTAATTAACAGAATGATGAAAGCAATTAGGTGCACTCTACTGATGAAGCCCAAGCAGTGCTTACAGGAGGAACTTGAGCAATCATCAGCTGTTCCTCTAAGACTTGCAACTGCTTCTTCAACTCAGAATTTTCAGCTTCGAGATCTTGAATCTATAAAGACAGATATCAATTTGTCATACATAGGCATATTTGAGTCATTGAGAAACTACAGTTATAGCGTTCTCTATAATGATATATCATGCTCACTCTTTTCTGTAGGCCACCAATCTGTTTCCTTGTCTCTACGTCTTTTCCCCCAGACTCCAGAAACTTCTTGTATGCCAAGTCAAATGCTTGGCCGATGGTCAGTGTTATCTCTTCTGCCTGGAATCGACAGATACATTGCAGATGATTTGCATCATCAGTTTATTTGTCTTTTGAGACGCACTAAAGTATTTAGTATTAAAATAGTATTTAAATTAGTATTTAGTATTTAGTAATTAAAAGTTACTATAATTATATAGTATATTTATAATATAGCTATAAATATGAAAGAGTGATAGAATCATTTCATTAAAAAGAATTTGGACTATTATGGCATTATCTGTTTTCTTACACATTTTTCGCTGTCAAACACATAGCAGAGATGTTTGTTCGACTCTGAATCTTTACAAATGAATGTGAATATCCTTTTGTCCGTCTTATCATCTGCACAGAAGGATATCCTGTGCAACTGACAGTTGTACTGTACTTCCTGTGAAAAAGAAAACAGGATTAGACAAAATATAAGGCCTTTACATAGATATGGGCATTCAGTGAAACCAAAAGTATAAAGACTCACTAATAAAATATTTTAATGTCCTATGGTGATTTTTTTGGCAAATGTATAAAGTGAGTTGACCTGAGGTTCACATGGATGTCCTTGCAGAGTAACCACAGGTGTAGTGGTATAATATTAACTATGAACATTATCCACTAACATTTAACAACCAGAAATGGTCCAAATACTTTTTATAGGGCCATTATAGTCTCTCAATTGGCTCTACTTAAACAACACGGCTCATGTGTTTGTTAGGCGATGCACATACCTTTGATTTAAGATCTAATATTTTCACTCCGTAGATGGATATCTGTAATTCGACTTTTGGGATCTTCTGTCCCTCTGACTTCTTAATATGCCTCTGAAACTTTGAATAGAGAAAGATAGACCACAATCACATTAAGAGATATCAATTATATATAATAGTTATTATAATTATAATAAAAATAATTTTATTCTTCTTTTTATTATTATTATTTAAATGTGCATTTCAATATAATTTCTCATATCATTTCTCAAAACCCCTTACAAACAATAATGTAAGATTAAAGATTAAAAGATTAAAATATTAAGAAATTTCCCCCAAAAAATTAAAACTCGTCGTTCCAAACCTAAATCTTTTTGATCAAATCTGAGAGGTAATGGTAATCAACTGCCATTTTGACGCTTGAAAAAGTTCATAAAGAGATCGTAAAACTAATCCATATGAATATAGTGGTTCAGCCCAAATTTTCTAAAGAAACTCAATCACTTTATAAAATGAACAGATGTAGGTTTTAATTTTACGGAAGCATATTGCACTCACTTGAGGAAATAGAATGTACTGTTTTTCTGAATTAATGAGTTACTTATCACAGAATTATCTCAGAATAATTTTTGATGGAAAAAAATGTTTTACTCTGTTTTTATGAATTAATGAGTTACTCCTAATTTTTGAGATAATCAAGTCATTCATTTTTTCCATGAAAAGTTCTCGTAATTCTGAGATAATTAACTCGTTAACTCGTTAACTCTCAGTTATGGGTTCAAAAAGCCCCTATGGACAGGTGTTGAAAATTAGCACATGTGCTATTACACTTTAAACAATGCATCTGGTTCGTCCAATGTTATTGCTATGTCCATATTAAATACATAAATAAATAAATAAATAAATAAATAAATTAATTAATTTAGAAAAACAGCGCAAAAACTTTTTTCCATGAAAAAATGATCTGGTAATTCTGAGATAATTAACTCATTAATTCAGAAAAACAGAGCAAAAACTTTTTTTCAATAAAAAATGATCTCGTAATTCTGAGATAATTAACTCGTTAATTTAGAAAAACAGAGCAAAAACTTTTTTCCATGAAAAATGATCTCGCAATTCTGAGATAATTAACTTGTTAATTCAGAAAAACAAAGCAAAAACTTTTTCCATGAAAATGATCTCGTAATTCTGAATTAATAAACTCGTTAATTCAGAAAAACAGAGTTTTTCTTCTTCAAGTGAATGCAATACGCTTCCATATAATTTCGATGAATCGTGCAGCCCTAATTCATATGGATTAGTTTTACGATTTTTTGAACTTTTTGAACCATCAAAGTGGTAGCTGTCAATGGAGAGTCTTCATTGATTTCATCAAAAAGAACTTGATTTGCGTTCTGAAAGTCTTGCGGGTTTGGAACGACATGAGGGTGAGTAATTGATGAGGTTTTTGGTGAACTAACCCTTAAGGGAGGAGTGTTTATAAAATAGAGTTCTCTATGCATCATTAAACAGCTGTGATTCACCACGTAAGGTCTGTAACAGCTGGAGGGTGATGAAATTACATCCTCTCGAGAGTAATACTACTTCCTGTTTCCAGATGAAAACAAGGGCACCTATTGTGTGCAGCCAATGTGAACTTACCTTGAGCTTTCTGACGGCATCTTTCACGATTTCTGTACCTTTGGGTTGATCAACTTCTGTATTTCCCAGAAACTACGGGAGAAAAATGAAAATCATATGATTTTCAATGAAACAACAAGCTATATATGGAGATTATTTAAGACTTTTTTGTTATTATTATTGAACACATGGCAAAACACACCAGTACTTTCGTTTATTGTGAGGACATTCTCAGTTATGGGTTCAATTATAATGTTAATATTTCATAATCATTCATAAACCAACATGAACAACACTACATTCAGGTTCCAACAGATGGAGCTATTAACCTTTTACCCAGTCCTTGTGGTCAAGATGCTGTGCTAGCTGATTTAACAAACTGGTTAACACCTTGCAATTACTTCTTTAGTCTAATGGCTACTCTATTAAAATGAATAAATGAACAGTATTTTGACAGTAACCACAAAGATTTCCAGACTATACTTATGTGATTTTCTTGTCTGACCTATTTTCACTTATAACATTAACTTCACTCACATTAACATTTCTTTTTTTTCAGAATCTTTAAAAGTTCCCTCCACCTCTCTAAACACTAATTTCTGTGATTCAGTCATTACTGCTGGTCAGCCTCTTTCTAAAAATGCATTGAAAGTAATGGATTTATGATTAGTCCCACTCATTACACAGACAAGTGAAATCTGAAATACTATATTCTTCTGGTGGACAAGAACTGCACTATCTTCCAAACTGGAGTTAAACAAATCAGACCCCGTAAACGCATCTGCAGCACGTAGTTATGATGGATGTCGTCCACACTCAAGGGCAAGGGAGCACGGTGGAACAGAAGAGGCAGGAGTGATAGATACACTACATTACACTGGGTGGAGAGTCTCTTGTTTCTGACGACTGTTCCCTGCTGGTCCGAATATGTTCTTTTTTTGCCAAAGACATCCAGCCTTTGCTCATCTATCACCTCCTACACTGGCAGAATACCATTTTTTCCTCCTTTAATTCACTTTCTTTGTCTTCTCCTCTCCAAAGGCAGACAACACTGCAGAAACTTCAGCAGCTCTGAGAATCAAAATCCTTTTATTTTCGGGAGGACTTCAGTAAGACATCTTAGAGTCACTGCTCAGAGCAGACAGCTTCTAAACAGAAGATGAGTCTTTGGTGAAACGGAGCGTAAAACAGCACTGACAGTGAATACGAGATGTTCTTTCCCACAAGAAGTTTGATGAATAACAAAAGAGATTGATCCTTCCATTTAGGCTGTCTCTCTTTAGACTCTTGGATATTTATTGTATTTTTGAAGTACAAATCCTGTATTTATATCGACAAGCATGAAAACATGAAATCAAAACTGACCACATTTTCTTTCTTCATACATACAAGTATTTCTGGTTTCATTCTGCATGCTGTTTCAAATAAGGCCAAGCTATTTATTGTCATAGTTCATAGTACAAGAGTTTTTGTACTAAGGCTGTTACATTTTTATTAGGGCTGTGCAAAAATTAATTGCGATTAATCGCATCCAAAATAAAAGTCTGTTACATAATATATTTGTGTGTGCTGTATATAATTATTTTGTATATATAAATACCTATGCATGCATGTAATCTATATTATATAAATATTTTATATATGAATAACACATTTTATTAAATATATACATGCATGTGTGTGTATTTATATATACAAAATAATTATATACAGCACATACAAATATATTATGTAAACAAACACAGACTTTTATTTTGGATGCGATTAATTGCAATTAATTTTTGCACATGCAGCCCTAATTTTTATACATAAATGAAATTTTTAATATATATTTTATGTATAAAAAAATATACGTTTGGTTATAAATGAAAAAAGATAGTCACCTTTATTTATATAGTGCTTTTTACAATACAGATTGTATCAAAGCAGCTTCACAGTGATAACATGAAAATAGATAGATATAGAAATAGACAGCCCATTCTCACCCCCAAGGCGTCACCTAACTGACGCCTTGGGAAGCATTTGGACATGCTTCAATATCTGACGCTTTAGGCGCCCTTTAGCGTCAGGTAGATGACGCCATAGGATCGCGTGTACCCTACCCCCACCCCATACCTAAACCTAACCGCGTCCTCTAACTGACGCTTTCCTTTAGCGTCAGTTAGATGACGCCGTAGGATCGCGTCATGTAAGTGACGCTAAAGGGCGCCTAAAACGTCAAATATTGAAGCATGGTCAAAGGTGACGCCTTGGGGTGAGAATGCGTTGAAATAGATATACATACTACTGCTCAAAACTTTGGAGTCATTAAGTAGTTTAAATAGTATAGTAATAGTAATTAACAGAAAGCCTTAAAATGATTAGATAAAATATTTATAATGTAACAAAAGATTTCTCTCACAAATAAATGCTGTTCTTTTTAACTTTCTATTAATCAAAGAAAAAAAATGTAAAAGGGATATATTAAAGCATCTTTGGTGTTTCCATGAAAATCGAGACTAACGTGGAAATGACGTCATTGACAGGCCATGCAATGACAGTAACGCATAGTAACGGCCAGCGTCATTGCATGGCCTGTCAATGACGTCATTGACAGGCCGGGCCTACGTTATATCTACGTTATATCCCCCCTGCCAACGGCGCGTTAGAAAGATTCATGGACGCTCTGATGTAGAACGAATGCTTGGTCTTTTATTTAAAGCTGTAGTATAGACGAATCCGGCGAAACTACCGGAAGTAAGCGGGCGCCATTACTGAGCTGTTGCTGGGTAGCGTTGCGCCATTGCATCCTATTGTTTTAGTTGCAACTTGCGTCCACTGGAATAAACAGCCCGCGATTTACGACTGTCACTAACGTTACAACGTTAGCCCTTGTATAATGTCGAGTGGGTAAACAGTTTCCGTTATAAATTGCTTCAATGGTGGCAGTAAAATTTCAATTTTGAAGAGAAAACATTGTGAATACCCCGGGTCGACAGCCCCTGTCTGGAGCCGTACGGTTTACACAGATTTCCTGGGCGAGTACAAGACGCGTGATCATCATACTTTCACAACATTGCTTAGTCGCTTCAATCTAATGACATTGCTAATGACACATCATATGTAAAATTGCCTTTAGACACTTGAACTTAGTTGCTTCATCAACAATTCAATGACATGTTTGAGATCACGCCAACGCAAGATTAGCAACACATGAAATGTTCTACACTACCCACCACCATAAAGGCCCGTACACACCGGGACGAATATCAGCGCGCGTTATTCGTCAGCGTTTTTCAACGCGTTTTTTGTGTTCACACCCAAAGCGTTTTTCGCTGACGATGAGCCGAGTGAACATGCAAATTCATTCCCTGACATTAGATGGCGCTTAATGTAAAACAGAAATAATAATAGAATACTATACTAGGGTGATCATATTCATGCCTCAATGTTTTATTATGACAGATAGAAAAAAACGAATGAAATAATGATAGAAATAATGTCTTCTGTATTAGAAATATATATAAATAATAAATAACTAAAAGAAATGCCTCCAAATGTAACAAAAAATAGCTCTCAGAAACTTACAAAAACGAACTAACAAAATCTATTTATATCTTTAGTTTTCATTCTCTTTATCTTGTTTTTCTTCCTCGTCCACCTTGTTTGCCCATCTATATTTTGCTGTAGAACTGATCTTTCCCAGCAGTTTTTTTGAGAACCAGGACATTTTCATCACTTAAAAACAGTCAGGACGGGACGTGGAAACAGGACATGTGTAACGCAAAGTTGAGATGTTGCCCAGAGATAAAAACATAGCCGTTGTCGGATGAACAGATGCACGAGAGACGAGAGTTGTCGTATTTCCCCGCGTTTAATAAAACCACTCAAACGTCACACTCGTCCTCCTCATACATCGGGATCGAGCGAGAAAAAAACAAACAAACAAACAAACATCTGGTCACAATAGAAAAATAAAATAAAAGAAAGAATACAAAGAGTCGGCAGAGCTGTTATCTCCTCTCCTCACTTGTCAAAATCTAACTGACACTACGCACACTATGCGCAGTTCTCATCTCAACTCAGATTTCTATAAAGCACAACGTGACCGTTTTACACATGTCCCGGGAAAACAGGACTGTTGGTCACCCTATACTATACTTTTATTACAGAAATACTAATATAAATATTATCTTATAGCTCTTAATGCTCCGAGACCAGCAGCTCAACATTCATCTTGCCCATAGGTATCTTGTCTCTTCTTCGCTATATGTGTTTGGCAAGACCGTTTTGTGTTTGAGCGCCCTCAAGTTGTGTTTTACTGTAACTTCAGAAGCACCAGACACGTGAGCAAACCCGCCAGTTTCGTTGGTCGGATAGGTTTTGACGCGGCGCGTCAAACCAAAAAAACGAACCCGAGGCGTTTTTTGAAAAAATGACGCTTTTACGCGTGGCGTTTTTCGCGTCGGTATGAACACTCACATTGGCGCCCATTGTTTAGTCACGAGGCGTTAAACGTCGACGAATAACGCGCACGAAATTCGTCCCGGTGTGAACAGGCCTTAAGTATGATATTAGTAGTATTGCGAAGGTTTTGAGTAATTGTTATAGCAGCATACAGCGCATCTTGTTTAAATTCCGATCGGCTCGAACAGAAACCCGCAAGGCATACTGAAATAAAATCAAGCACTTCAAGAAATATTTACTTTGACCCGTGATAGGTGATGCTAAACAGCTAACATTCCAATGCCGACCGGCAGCATTAGCAAGTTGTCAGACTGATAAAAAGCTATTTATGTAACACGTCACGCGACTCACGCCATATAAAAGTATAAATAAATGTTTAACGTTACCTGCTCAACAAAAAGTCAGCAGTGTCAGCATCGGTATTCAGTCCCAGATCTCGCTGAAGCTTCCTCCATCGGTCAATAGTGGACCCTATATTTATTCTCCTCAAATTTCGCCATTGTTCACATTTTCTTGTAGGGGCAAGCAGGGGACGCTTGCTGTTGTCTTTTTCGTTTTTATCCATTGCTGATATGCTACTTAGCTAGCTACCATATGCGGTCAGCTGCTAACGCGCGTGATTCTCATGACGCAGAAGGGGGGCGCGGTCGGGTGTGGTCGGGTGCGGTGGGGTGGAGACGCGAGAGCCAGGCGGAGTTTCAAGGGTAGCTGGTGTTTGGATGAGAGCAGTTGACCAATGTAGCTTTGCGGCCGCAAATAGGATATTAATAATGAACAATCTTTGAAATCGTATACCCTAGCTTTAAAGGGGCCACAAAGCAAACAAGCATGTTGATTATTATTTTTGCATGTAGACTGACCAAGTAGGGTATAAGTTAAACTCATGGAATCTTTTAATGTGAAATGAAGAAATTGATCGATGGAAAGAACTTAAAAATTAGTGACATGTTTGCAGACTAAATAAACCAATTAAAGGGCATATTGCAGGTTACATGACCCAACGATTCAATGCATAGAACAATAATGTAAGAACTAGATTTTCTTTAAAACTTTTCCCAGATAGCAAACTGACATTGAATCAACGTGGAAATATGACATCGAAACAACGTTGATCTGACATAGTTTTGCTCATCGAATTAACGTTGAACCAACGTCAGACGCGTCATTCTTTCAAAACTAACGGAAAATCAACTTGAAATCAACGCATTGTTTCAACGTTATGAAAGCAAACCAATTTTCGATTTTTATTTAGCTTTGAAGAATGCCGCGTCTGACGTTGGTTCAACGTTAATTCGATGAGCAAAATCAACGTTGTTTCAATGTCATGAGAGACGTCGTTTCCACGTTGATTCAATGTCAGTTTGCTGTCTGGGTTACTTATAAGATTTTACTTATAAATACACTACAGAAGCTTCTGGAGTCGTTTTTGAGAGAAAATTTTACTTCCGTGTCTGAAAATGGTTGTGGCGGGCATGACGCAACGAGCGGGAGAGCGGTCGTTTCAAACAACAGGAAAACAATGGATCGATCGCAATGACATTTCGGATGCTGCGAAAATACTCGTACGACAGACCAAGCCATAAAGTTATGAGCCTGCTATGCTAAAGAGAGCAGGGACAGGCCAGGATAATGTTAGACAGAACGGTCAGAGACAAATTGAGTTGTGGTGTGAGGAGAACCAGTGGAGAAACACTGTGCTCCCAATATTGTACAGATTATTATGATTCTACACTCTTAAAAGAGATTGAACCTTTGGGGTTCAAAAAAGAACTTTAAAGTGCAAAAATGAACTAAATGTAAAAAAGGTTCAAAGTTGAACCTATAGGTTCTTTAATGATCCACTGATTATTTGGCACATGTTGTCAGTTCATTTAGAACCTTTGTTGTGGCAGAAGGGTTCATATAAGAACCTGGCCTGTTGTTAAGGTTCCTTTTTGAACCTTATAAGATGGACTGTAAAAGAATGATTGTTTTGTTTTTAGGCCCTTGCTTTAATAGCTCCTGAACATACAAGAATGGAACTTCTACATTTTTTCACATTAAAAGTCCAGCAGACATTAGTACGTTTAGGGTCGATTTATTCTATTAAATGTATAAAAACTATACTTGAGTATATTTCTATTGTACTAAAAGCATACAGGTACATTTTTAATACATATTTTCCACCTGGGATATAACATAAAAAGAAAATTAAAGATATGAGTATTTAAACAACCAATTTTGTTTTTCAATTACAAGTTGCTTCTATTTAGGGCATGACTACGACAATCAATATTCTTGCTTCGGTATCCCATGTTGAACTCCATCATATCGCCGGGATGATAACCATTTGATCTGAAGTGAACGCTACACACGACAAAGCTTTTGTTTCCAAAGCTGATGCGGAAGAAAAATCCCATCTCTTCACCTGCACAAAACTGTGGACTCGATCTTGAAGTCCTGACAGGCCGGAGTTTTTGCAACCTCCACAAACACAATAATTTACCATGACGATAATAAATTAAAATACAAAAACTACCGAAAGCACACTGACTGACGACCGCTCTCACTGAACACCAGCCTACTCTGCATTGAGCCGAAGCTGAGGCTCCCCTACATGACGTAAATTGACGTGATGTTGAAAAAAAAGCCGTTTTTACTTATACATTCTTATTGGTTGCCGCTGAATTACGTCATAGTTCATTACCATAAAGTTGACCTGACTTCAACTCTTCTTGGTGCTCTCGCCGTCCAAGACAGAGCTCGCCGCCGGCTCACATTAAAAATAAATGATTTCCAGCCACTTTGATGCTCTCGCTGGCGGCGGACGGCGGTGTGAATGCACAGTTACATTGGTTAAAACTGCTGATTTCACTGCATTTAAACATTGTTGGAAATATTTGTGATGTAATGTAAATACACAAGTTTACAAAATATATAACATTGCTCTAGGGTTTTTTGAATACCGGTATTTTAATTGTGCCTTTAAAATAAATAAATAATAATTGTAATAATATCTCACAATGTTTTACCATATTTAGATTAAATAAATGCAACCTTGTTGAGATAATTCTTTCAAAAAGATTATTTACTGACCATAAACCATTGGAAATATTTCTTAGTATAGTATAGATAAAAGTATAGATTACCAAAACAGCCACATTCATCTACAATAAATTTTAAGAAAAAACTATTGAGTGGAAAAAGAGGTTCATAACACATACCTTGACATTGTATGCTATAAAATGCTTGGCCAGAGCTTCTGGAGTGTGCATCCATGATTTATCTAGAAAGAGACAGAACACTATTAACGTAATAAAGCACTTCATGAAGTATGCAATATCTTAATGATATTCTCAATTTTTCAGACAAACAGTCAATAAAAAGGAGTCAGCTGCTGTTCCTCTTAGCAGTGAAAATTCTAGTGCAAATGTGTATAAACAATAAACCAGTTATTATATACAGTATGATTATTTATTGATCAACTGCTGTTCAGAACTCTTAGCGGTGAAATCTGTGTAAATATCTTTAAACAACAGAATGAATAATTTTTAATTAGTAATATTAAGAAGAGGGAACAATAACTTTTTCTCATTGAGTCCTTACATAGCCTAACTGTTAAGTAAAGCAATTTCAAAGATTGTCAAAGAAGAACAGCCAAAAGCCTATGCACAAGAAGGATTTCAGCTAATGCAGCAGTGTACTGTACTGTAGCTCAACCTGGCTTGTCAGAAGGGGAATTACTGAAATTGTCCATAAAGGGATACTTCAGGATTTAGCATTAAGCTTTGTAACCTGTAGTATTTTCAAATTACCATGCTTTCCAACCTCATATCCCCCTGAGACGAGAGATTTATGTATTTTTTGTCTGGAAAAAAATCCTCTGATGATGCAAAAATCGTCATTTTGCGTCATCAGAGAATTTTTTGGCCAGAGGCTTAAAGACTAAATCGTCATTTTGCGTCATCTGAGAATTTTTTGGCCAGAGGCTTTCAGCCATCTTTTTTTTTTTTTTTTTGGAAGCTAAGCTAGCAGGCTCTTGTTGTGTGGAGAAAGCTGAGTAGTAGGGGTTACCATCCTCTTTTTCCCGGACATGTCCGGCCGCCGATGTCCGGGATTCAGCTTTTGCTTTCTGCAGTAGACATTCATTGTTTACATGCACACCTTTTGTTTCAGTCTAACTGAATTCATTCCGATTGGTGAATCTGAATGTAGTGTTTACATAAACGCTAAACAAGTGATCGGTTGATGTGCATTTTAAATTGCTAAAAAAAAAAAAAAATTCCAGTTCCTCCGTGAGAGATATGAGACTGGTGCATCTCACAGGTGTCGCTCATCGGTAATCACGCCACCGGCCTCGCGTGTTATCCCGCGGCCCTCACTCGCCCTGCTCGCCATAGTAAATATAATGAATGGCGACTGCAGAGGGCAAAAGCCGAATCCCGGACATTTGGTCGATCTCAACACATTTTTGGGCAGACTTATCACAGAGACTCACTAGTAGCCTAGATTTGTTGATCAAATACTACGCCCTGTTACCGGTAGGCGTGGCCTCCTAGGGCAGCGAAGCAAGTGCATTCTGGGAGTTGTTGTCTTTCATCCACATACAGTAAGCCAAAAATACATTTTCTGTTTTTTCTCAGTCTAGAAAGCTCCAAATTCAAAAATGATTTCACATTTCTTCTACATAAATGACATTTTAAATACACATTCATCTTTCCAGAGGTGAAGTATCCCTTTAAAGGAGTGCAGACAGGGGGTCAGACGTGATGGACAGGAGACACTGCCGTGCCTGTGCCTGTGTGACGGCTTAGAGGAAACTGCAAGGCCTAATGTGACAAACAAGCCGCAGGAGTCACAACATTCAGATCGCCTGCCGGTTTACTCGGCATCAACACCAGGAGCTCAAGAACAGAGTTAGCCACACCATTGTGTGTACAAAATCACTCCCTATTCCCTATATATAGCACATATGGGGTCTCAGCCGTTTGGCCAACATTTGTAACTCACCGCACTCAATACTTTCTTTAAACTTTGCTTTAATTGCTTCTGAGAGAGTGTTATACAACGGTATTCATCGGCTTTACAGCAATTTAGAGGGAAACAACAACGACCAATTAATCTCTCATTTAGCCAAGTATAACTCAGGCAGATCGAAACAAAAGACCCCTGATGACTCAAAACCTCTTCTGGTATTTCAAGAAAGCAGTGATCGATCAGCAGTCAATTGTAAATATACAAAAAAGAAATGACCTACGGACTGAAAAATGAGTAACTCCAAGATAAGCTTATAGCCACACTATTTTCATTCAGAGCAAGGCATTCAGAGCAGTAAGGGGTTTAGATTGGTGATTTATAGATATAACGTGTAATATAGTAGGCTACATTCACTTCAAAGTTAATAATCAAGGTTCAAATGCTGTGCATTTTTTTTTATCTCATTCTTATCCTCATCAATCCATTTCTCATAGAAAATCTGCCAGTTTTTCCTTCTTCCATGGATTGTGAGGGTATAGTTTGCCCGCTGAGATTCCTCATAGAGTGTAATTCATAGGTCAAATGAAGAAAGCACACCCCAAAATGTCAGTGTTCTTCTTGTGTACATCCATGTGAATGGTAGGTGAACACAGTGGTGCAGAAACTGATGGCAAAGCGTCTAAAGAAATGCATTACTTTTTCTTATTCGAAGGGAAACCAATATGAATGGAGAATGCGTAACAAAGAGAAAAATCTGCCAAAAGGTCATTAGAGAAAGCATTGAAATATGTCAAAAGTGATTGTGTCTGTGGTGCCATCACAACATCTTTTTGCATTTCTGAGCATCTCGACTCTCTCTTTGCCCTACTAATAGCAGGCTGATCGTGTGTTGTGCATTTAATGAATTGTATTGAATTGGAAGCGCAGCCAACTATTGATAATTTTCCCACACTATAATATCCAATGATCAATGAGTGAACATCAAGTCTGCCAAATCAGAACATCTTGGCATATTCAGGATTCCTCTGCAAGGGCTTCTGAGGAGTGTAAGAGCATTGGTAGTCTCCGCATCTAATTTTACAGCTCACTGCTTTGATTCATGGAGCTCTGAATGGCAATAAGGCAACGTTATAACAAAAATAAGAGAAGAATAATCTATTACAATAGTAATACTACTGTAAACCACTTTAACAACCAGTAAAGAAACGCACTGGGAAGTGGGCACTAAGCCCTGGTTGTGTTTCAATTGAAATAGATTTGTGTTGAAAACGCATTTTAATACATGTTCTGGACAAAAGCACCACAGCGATTTTTCATAAAAATATATATATATATTTATAAAAAAAAATCAAATAATAAAAAAAAAGATTATGTTTTATCCATATTCGCAGGGTATTTCGGTCTTCTCCAGCTACATGGTATGAAAGCCTGTCGGTATTATCAATGCTATGATGACATGTTCAGAAATTTTTGTCTGCAAGGGTTTTTCAGGGAAATAAATAAAATGAAAGAAGATACAGAGACCGAAAAAGATGGCACATCTGTTACTTGTAATATAAGTAATTAGGTAGTATTGAGTAGTTTAGCTAAGGTTTTTTTACAGGATACTGTCAAGTATTTTGGGAATACTGGATTGTCACAAATTAACCAGCCTCACTCCCCAAACAATGATTTCTGAGCTTAAAAGCAAGAAAAAAAGAGAAACAAATCACATCAGAGATTATGCTAAATCTTTTGTGCTGTTTAGGCTATTGAAACTGATCATGTATGGGTTCAAACTTGATTTTATTATGCTCTAAATAACAGACACTGTAGCCATTTATTGTTCTGTGTCTAGTAATTGGATGCATTAGTCTGGAAAGAATCTGGGTCCAATTATTCCTTTGTCATCACAAAAACAGGCGTTGTGTATTACCAACCATCTAATTCAGAAACTAACAGTACCTGTTGAGTATGCAAACAGTAATTGAACCTGTAACTTTATATTTCATTATTCTATATTTTTTTTCAGCAGATAACCCTCAAAGATCAAAATATTATTTGGTAACATGATTATTAGTCTATTAGTCAATGGTTAATTCATAGTTTATATATCACAGACTCTACATTGTTAAATATTAATAGACTATATACAAATAGTGAGGTTTTCATTCATTGTCTGTAATTTTATTATTGTTTAATAAAAATAGTATTAGTAATGTATGTAATAGGTTGATAACAAAGCATAAAATACATTACTATCATACTGGGTTAAATAACCAACCTAATTTGTGAAGTACAATTAACTCAATATGTGTTCTGTCCTATACCCAGCCCTTGTGTAACTTGATATCCATCCATCCGGCATAAACATCATCATCAACTTTTACCAAGAATATTTTATTAGGCTGAGTTTTGAGACAAATGATCATACATTAACTCCATATGACCAAAAAGAAACAATAAAGAAAGACATATTTACATTACCTAACAGACCAATGACGAATCACCCACCTCATTTTAAAGCAGGGTGGCATTAGTCAGACTCCATTAGACAGAAACCTCTTCTGTATCATCACATCAGAACTCACACTAGACACTGCGGGTAATGAATGCATGGTCATAAAATGATTACTGTCTCTCTCTGGTAAATGCCGCTATTGTTCATAAGCGGGCTGGATAGACCTTTTTGTGTTAGTTGGAGAATGTAATGCTGTCTTTCAGACAGATGGGCAATTGGTGCTCTCCACGGTCCAACAGCACTGTCTTGTGCACCAGAAAGAAGGTGATTGTGACAGCAGGAACATCCGTGCAATGCAATGGAGGGCAATGTGTTGAGGCCGCAAGAGCTTTTTCCAGTGCCAAAATAATTACTTTGTTATGCCTAACCTCTTTATGAAATCAGATAACTTTTTCTGGATAAATGACCAAATTAACTGAATGTAGTACACTAGAGATGCACCAATACACATGATGCAATACAAAAATGAACAGTAGCTTGATTCCTAATGATTTCATTCACAATTCAATGACATGGTGATCAGCTATAGTGGCCTACTTAATATAATTAACAGTTTGTGAAAATCCTCAAATAATTAATCTCTATGTAATATACTTGCAAATTAATAAAATAAAAACCAAATGTGTTACAGTCATCTGAAAACATCATCATATCTTCCATCATCCCAAGGGATTTAGCATGGGACAGCGCTTGCGATTATAGCCCATATCTTCAAAGCGAGCCAGACAGAGCAACAGGAGCTCCAAACACAGAAATATTACCAGTGCAATCCCTGCCATCTGGGATCGAAGATTGGCCAGTTGGGTTTATCACATCAAAGATCCATTAATTCTTTTTGGAAAAAAGGGTGGGACAGGTGGTTGTAAATACATAGAGAGAGAGAGAGAGAAAAAAAACAGGCGTCTGGAGCCAGACAGGTTGTCTGATCCAAGCCACTGAGAAATGACAGAAAGGCAGAAGAGACTAGGGTAGGAACAAACAGAGGTTGAGAAAGAAAGAATAAGAGAGAGGTACAGGTACCGGAGTCTGAATAGTAGATATTTTTATAAGGTTTTCTGTTAGGACTGTCATTTTTTTAAAACATTATTATATTGTGAATCATTATTATTATTATTTAAAAAAAAAAAAAAAAAAAGCCAAAGTAATCGGTTTCCCTAGCCTGGGAAATTTAGATTTGCTCTGAAAGTTAGTCTGGCAAAGAGCTCATTCAAACCCATTTCCAGTCCGCAGAAAACGCGGCACCAATCAGAAACGTTGGGGCGGGCTTTACACAATGACGACAGCGCTGGGATTTTGAAGCAGATTTTGTAGCCTACATTACAAAGATGGACGCCCGTCGAACATCACTTGCTCGAATCAGCTATCGCGTCTGTTTTTAAGTGATTTGAACGTTTTCCTTTTGTTAAAACCCGAGCAAAGAACAACATTCGGAGATGTTTCTGGTGATTGGATTTAGGTCTACCCGCGACGTCCGCTGGTGACGCCCCTCTGGAAAGGATTTGTCTATGACGCTTTGCCAGACCATATCTCAGTTACAACTGAGAATGGTCTGGTTTTAACCAGGCTACAGTTTCCCTGGTCTGTAGTCAAATTTGTACTTTCTGCTACTTCCAACCATCAGAGCAATTCAAGTACATTCACATGTTCAATGAATTCAAAATACACACACAAATATCAATTTAATATTGATATATGTAAATAATACTGTGATTAATTAAATGTAATTAATTTGGTTAAATTTTTTTATCATCATTCTTTAGTCATTATAATTTTTGTATCGTTTGACAGCCATAAAGATTTTGTTCCATTGACGGACAGAAAAAGGAGAGGAAAGCAAGACAAAAAACAAGCACAACACATACCTTTTTTTCTGTTAAATGCCCGGTTCATGCTTGAAAACAAACTGTCTTGGCTGCAATTTCCTGGAATATGCCACTTCTACCTGCCGGGATGAGAGCATATATGGAAATTTACTCCATGGAGTCTGAGAAGTAGGAATACATGCTTCAAAAAAAAAAAAAAAAAAAAAAAAAAAAAACTTTTTCTTTGAATTTGCCTTAAGGTTAAATCTACTAGGGTGTGTTATTGCAGAAAATGTTACTGGGTTAAAAGCTATTGGGTTCACAGGAAATAACTTAAAAACAAAAAACAAAAACAAATAAAACAAATATCTCTACTATGAAGAAGTATTACAGCAGGTAGGGGGAATAAGTCAAAACTATAAATATTATGGGTAACTATGCTCTTCATGGCTCAAATATTTGAACTTGTATTTGTGGAGGATGGTAGATGCAGAGTGTTTTCAAAAGTCAGACAAAAGTTCAAAAGTGAAATCAAATGTGCAGAAAAAAAACAAGCTGAAAACACTTTAAATTGCTTAAGATCCCAATGAATATAAAATTGGATTCTTGTGTATGAAGAACTTGAAGCTAAAGGTGTTTTATCATAGTTTGATATTTTTGACTGTAAAAAGGTGTCATCATTTTCAAAAAAATATTAGCTTTCAACAAATTACAGTTATTGAGCATTATTGTGTGTGGCGAGTTTGTAAATAGAATTTAAATAGACAAAAAAAAAAAAAAACAAGAATACATTTTCTGATTTTTATTTAGAAAAAAACCCTGAAAAATCACGAATGAAAGAAACTAAAACTTTAAAGTTGAAAAGGAAGTATAATACATCTATACAAGTGTTTTTGTGACATTGGGTTGCAGAGTTTTCATTTAGGACACTTTATCATACACACACACATACAAATGCGTCCATTCATAGGCACACACACACATGCATACACCACATGCTAAGATATGTGAAAAAGTAACAGCCACCCGCCTCCCAAGTTTCATTAAAAATCATCCCAATCTCCTCTTCTGCGGTCTACCACTTCTTTCGCCATGTATTTGCTAGTTTATTTTATTATTTTATGCAATACAAAACAATATAGCCTGCCACGCTTCATATCTCTCTGTTCAGATCTTTCCTTCCCGCTCTGTCAGAAAACTGCTGTCAAAAAGCTGACGCTGAAATAACCGTAATAAGCCATATATTGCCGAAAGAAAGTGCATGTTGTCAACTGTCAGGGGCAATTTAAATGTTTTTGATAGGGCAAATGGTTGAAGAGTTACGGTACAAAGAATACAACTTGCTGATCTGTGTCGGCGACGACACAGCCAGTTCTAAAAGAGTATATCAGACACATCACCAAAACACACTTGTAGCCAATTAGCAGTAAGGGGGTTATACACTCAATGGGGGGAGGTGCCTGTGTTGTAAAATGTGTTAATGAAATTGATGGCAGAGCTATCAAGATAGGGATGTGATCCTTTTGTTTTGGCGAATTCAAATATGAACAGAGGTTTTTTTTAGAAATCGCTTACTGCACCTTTAAACGTTAACAAACTACACTTTAGCGCCTAACACATATGGAGATGAAAATATTGGAATTGCAATTTTTCAGTAGAATAAAGTTGTATTACTCCCCTTATTGTTTTTAGAGTTATTTGAATATAATTATTGTTTACTTTTATTTTTAATAATAATCACAGAATCATGCTGATTACTTTTATTTTATAATCATAAGTCAAAATCAGGGGGAATGAAAACTCAAGTGGAATGAAAGGTAAAAAGAAAACTATCAACAGCCCGGTGTCATCCCAAGCCGTCATCTAACTGACGCTTTTAACCATGCGTCAACATTTAACGCACATGGCACCCTTTAGCGTCAATATGAGACGCAGATATATGGGCTAGAAGGCGCCTCCTAGTGGTCTAACCCTAACCCTACCCCAGACCTAAACCTACCCATAACGGAAGAGTCTCATATTGCCGCTAAAGGGTGCCACGTGCGTCTGATGTTGACGCATGGTCAAAAGCGTCAGATAGTCAGTGGTTCCCAAACCTTTCCTGGAGGACCACCACCACTGCACGTTTTCCATGTCTCCCTAATCAAACACACCTAATTCGACTCATCCGCTCATTAACCCATGTGATAATGAACTGATGAGTTGAATCAGGTGTGTTTGATTAGGGAGACAACGAAAACGTGCAGTGGTGGTGGTCCTCCAGGACAGGTTTAGGAACCACTGCATTAGATGATGCCCTAGGATGAGAATGCATTGCAACACTGCAGAAGATTTACTTAAAAACAATTTTCACTTAATTTGTTGGGGAGGTTAGAAATGTTTTACAGTGAATATATCAGCACAGAAAAACTAAATATCGCAATGTAACTTTTTTTCCAATATAGTGCAAGCCCTACACTAAGTACCACTCAAAACGTTCTGCTTCAATAGGAAAAACAATGTGACAAGACAGAAAAAGGTGCTCATTTCATTGAGTCTTTAAGCTTTTCACTGCATGCTTGTTCCTGAGCCTCTCCCTCTCAGGCATTGTCAAACACCAGGAGATAAGCTAAGCCAATGACTTATATAGGCTATGAGACAAACTATTCAAATATTAAGCCCAATGGGCAGACATATTACAATAGCACTGACGGATGAATTAATGGTGAAAGAAGAGAACGCAAGACATCCCCAGGATGTGAGCATTACAGATTTCCCCGATGCAGTGAAGACAAACTTTTTTCATAGAGACTTCAGAGAAATGCATCTTTAACTTCATAATGACTTCAGTGGAAGCTCATCATTCCCACTGCCTGTCTACCAGTCATGTTAACTTAAGGCCATATTTTTTCCTGGTTATGTTTATCATTGCATGACTGAATTTATTGTGTGCCGCCTATCATGTTCATATCAAAATGCAGTAAGACAATAAAATAAAACTGCAAAGTTTTAAAGTTTTAATACTGTACACAACAGAAGATGAGCACAAAAATAACATTCTTTTAATGAATAACTGAACAACCTTAAAGCTGGGGTAGACATTTTCTAAAAAAAAAAAAAAAAAACTTTTCCTCAAATTTGTTTAAACTGTCCATATATACCAATACATAATTAAAATGCAAGTACTCTGAAAAAGAAATTATACAAATCGACTGTCTGTAGTCCTCTCAGTGCTGCAACAAACACCCCCCACCCCCTCCCATCTGGGATCCTTACAAAGCCACGCCCCCAAAACATATGAACGCGCGCTTCCGACTGCACTCAGCTGGAGGACGCGTTTACCAGTGCCGCAGAGAGGAGCAGTGCATGTAGTGACATAATTTCAGAATCACATGTAATAAAATGCCTAACTTCATCATTATTAATATAAACAACTAACATGGCTGGTAGTAGTCACTATCAAGCTAGCATATCGATAATGGTAATGGTAAAGTTTAAAATATATTGAGTTTGATTCGGTAACGAGCTAGTAAAAAAAACTAAAAACAGACAAACTAAAAACAGGTTGCATTGATACATGTTTCCCGCGTTACCATAAGTTACACTGTTATGAGGTGAATTTCGTGTAAGATTCATAACATATATGGTGTTTTACATGTAAGAGCTTCCACGAAAGCACTGCTGGCGTCTCTTTTCAGGCCCTGGTTGTCAGTTGTCGCCACGGCTGGAAAGCCCCGCCGATATTGACTCTCGTCTGACTTCTTGCTTTATCCAAAGACTTTTTGGTCATAGCCTTTTCAAATACTGTCTTCCTCTTTTGTCTGGTTTTCCTTCGCTGACTGTATGTGCAGGTAACTGGGAATTTTGACTGCTCTTTCTCTGCCATAATTGTGATTCTTCCTAGCTTCCGTGCCTCTTCCAGTCCTCGAGCAAACGTGTGCGCGCATGTGGGCTGCTCTTACGCAGCAGTGCTGGTAGCAATGGTGAGTGACAGTCGCCCAGCCAATTATTTCTTTCGTTCTGGTTGGAAATAATGAGCTGTGTTTATTGCAGCACTGAGAGGACTACAGACACTCGATTTGTATACTTTCTTTCTCAGAGTACTTAGATTTTAATTATGTATTGGTATACATAGACAGTTTAAACAAATTTGGAAAAAAAGTTTAGAAAATTTCTACCTACCCTGCCTTTAACATTAATTGTGAACTGTCCATGGGGAATCTGAAGTGCACTTTTTGTTCTAGTATTCTAGTCCTTTCACACAGCATCTTGCAAAATAAGCAGTGTAAGAAGTGGTTTTTATGGTGTTTTCATGCAAAGGGCGTGGAGCGTCATTGGAGGGAAGCAGTAAATTATAGTATTTTGGGATGACATCTTGGCACAGAAGAATGTGATTTAAGGTTTCATGACAGAACAATGCATGTTTATTTATTTATTTATTTATTTATTTTTTAAATCTAAAACATATTACATATCTATTACTATTACATATATATTACAAACATATCTAAACACCCCACTTGGTACACCATGATGATGACAATATGTGAGCAGCTTAATGGTTTGAGCCAATGAGTCTATTTGTGACCAACTGTGCAAATACTGTAAATGCCTCTGTGTGTCTGTAAAGCCAGTTAGAAAATATGAAATTATGTACATGTATACAGGCACATTTAGGCTCCCAAGTGAACAGTGCAAACAGACAACAGCATTCCAGACTGCCAAGTTAAACACAAAGGGGCTGAACAGGAAGGCGGGCACTTGTATTTTTATTCACGGGTAATTGAGCTGTCATAAAGAGCCAAACCAACGTACAAGGACAGTGGTCATCACTGACTTAGCAGGTGAAATCACGAGTTTGTCACGTCACTGCCAGCGGTCTAAAGAGACCAAGAAGTGGAACAATTCATTCAAAAATAATTCATAAATCATTAGGAGTTCTGTCACAGTTCAGAAAACTTGTGAAAAAGGGCTGACATATCAGTATATATAAGTGTCAGTCATATGATCACCATTGCACAAATCTCCTCACTAACACATTTGCTCCACAACTACACAGGAAAAATGCTCATACCATTTCATAACAACATTCCACGGAGAGTGTACAAAAACCCTGTGGCTATTATGCCCACTCTTTCCCAGTCATTCTGCTATTTTATCT